AAAATCATGAACTACTAGTTTACAATTGTCTAAAATGGCTATCGAGAAATTTTTGGAATTATCTACCTGTAAAAAAATCCTTCATGGGTATTTCGCCACTGCACTGCAAGAAAATCTACAAAAAAAAATAGTTATTTTTTGTAAACACTTCTGCGTTAAACCTAAACGGACACTGCTTGTCAGAAGTTATGTTTACAGTTATACAAATTTGCCTAACAAAGAAAAATATGCTTCACGTTTCGGAAAGTTTATCTCTCTCCGTCGTCTCTTAACAGGACGTCAACGGTTTCTTGTAGACGTATCTGTTTTAAAAAAGTAAAGTGTTCTCGAATAGTTGAATATAAGTATTTTAAATAGTTTTTTTTCTTTATTCTTTGTATTTTTGTTTTGCTTCCGACGACGGAAAGAGATAAACTTTCCGAAACGTTAAGCATTGTTTTCTTTGTTAAGCAAATTTGTATAATTGTAAATATAACTTCTGACAAGCAATGTCCGTTTAGGTTTAACGCAGAGGTGTTTACAAAAAAATAACTATTCTTCCATTTTGTAGATTTTCTTGCAGTGCGGTGGCGAAATACACATAAAGGATTTTTTGGAGATATATGAATCCGCCACATAGGTATAGACATTTTTTATCTACCTGTAGTATGTTCATAAATAATTTACATTATCATTGGCTTTGAAAATATTTGGCTAGGCCTTTGAGGCGTTATTCCCAAGCAACGATCGAAGAAAATTATACTTCTCAAATGATGTAATATATGTATATCATGATTATTACATTTTTAAGGATGGTTTTGTACCAGCCTAATATAAATATAACTTAATATCTAGATTTTTACTAAAAATACTCTAATGCAGCTATATCAGTTCGTCTTATACTGAAATCATGTTCGACAAATTGACATCGAAATTGACGACCTCAAATTCATTCGTGACCAATCCGATAAAAAATATAACAATATTCAAAATGCGGGGTGTACTTTTGACATCGCATGTGGGGAGACTTTCAATTAAATATTTTAATATAATAATCATAAAAATGCGGTGTTCTTATAAAAATTTTGAATTCATTTGTGTTGTCAACAATAAAATGAAAATACAAATGCAAATATAATGTACATTGACGTTTTGATATGTAGTCAAGATCTTTATAAGGTCTGGGCCCGAATTCTGGAACTTCGACATAGAAATGTTACGCGTTCAAAGCGGCAAGCGAAAGTATTCGATTAGAGGAACGCCAAGCAGTCGGTTTTGATATTCTCGTTGCCGTGCGAATCGTTTTCTGGATACGCGTTGAGCAAATATTGGCAGCATCGCATTTTCTAATGGTATCTAATAGTCAAAGGTAATAATAGTCTAAGATATCTAATAGCTAAACGTAGATGAAACAATGAAAAATGTCAATGTTACGACGTGTTATGTTACGTCAAGCTATTTTTCTATGGATATGTCATTATTATTATTATACGAGGGAAACGTTGAAAACGCTTCTCAGCATTTTCGATGTTTTGAACAATATTTATAGTTGTGAAGTCGTAAATTATCAATTATTTATTGAGGAATTTATAAAAAAGAAGCAGTTTTCACTAAAGAGCAAGAGAACGCACAACATCACAATTTTTTCTATTTTTGCAGACAGTTCGACAAGCATAACGATCATTTGCTGGCAACCGTTTTCCGAATCGCTTGGCGCAATCAGTAAAGAAACTAAGGCCCCGTGTCTTCAGTTATAAATAAATAATTTTTATCTATCAAATAACCATCTAAGATAAACAAGCTGCTATCTATAGGGATATAACATTTGGGTATTTCATACAAAATAATCCAAAAGATAACAATTTGGAGGACGGGCCGCCTACGGACCGTTAGACACTCCGTAGAGAAAGTGTTGCCAATATAAGATATCTGAAATTGAGATGGTTATATATGAAATGTCTATGCAACAGACAGAGACAAAAACTGGGAATTTCAAATCGTTAGATTAAAAAGTGAGGTTATTATTCAGTTGTCAAAAGATCGTGAAAATGAAAATAAAAACAATAAAATTCAACTAAAATATATTTTGTGTTCAACTCCAACTAGTTGTATTATAGTATAGGCTAGTAAAATTTACCTTTATGGAAAAAGGGAAAGATAATTTAATTTCCGCAGTGGTGAAATAGATCTATTAAGGGAATGCGATTTATAAGAAATTAAAACAAGAAAATAAGTATTTGTAAGTAATTTATAATTTAATTACATGATATTACTGTTATATTTATTATATTAACATTTTAGTACAATTGATAATACAAAATATGGAAGAAGCTGGCGAAGTGCAAGCAGAGATTTATAAACAAATCCTAAAACCACCATATGGTAAGTTATTAATATTGAAAATTAAAAATAGCATAAGACTGTTAGTAATAACAAATATGTTGTTCTAGGGCTTCTCATAGTAAAGAAATAGGTAGGATAGCATCAATGATAGTAATTAAGTTGAGTTTTTATTTTATAAAATAGATAAATGCACTTATACTTTTGTCTTAATAATAATAAATGAATAGTACCTATAATAATTGCTACATTTACACATTATATGTACAAATTATTTAATAAAAAAAATTAAATAAAAACAATTTTGTCATATTACTTTTATTTTTAAGAACTCAAAGTGATGGAACTTCAGAAAAAAAAGAAAAAATAAAGGAAAAATCTTGTCTAAACAAAGTTGAATTAACTGGAATTCAAAGGACCACAATACAGATGTTTTAGCAAGGTTTAGCTAGAGAGTTACTTAAAAAACAGCATGGAGAAGAGATGTACCGTATGATCGAAAAAAATTCGGCGTCAGCAATGGCTATGAAATAAAGATTGCTGTCATTTCATATGTAAATTTATATGGGAAATATCATCGAACATCATTTCCCAGCCAACTGGATGCCGTTTTTTTTTCGATCATTCGGTATAAGGTACATAGTGCAAGAAATTAAACTAAAATTGTAACACACAAGAAATAAAAGCAAATGTGAGTTGAATAACAAGATTTATAAGGTTCCTGTTATAATATTAATGAATTAAGATATGCGAATTAAAAATGAAATAAATAGTTTGATTTAAAAAGTTTTATTTATTTTTTACCTACTTTAGAGCTATATTTGAAAGGATTTAAATAAAATAATTTATAAATTGCTGTTCTGCATTTTCTTCGTGTTCTGCATTTTCTTCGTTCTGATGCTCTAACAGAGGCTCTCTTTATTTTGTAACACTCCTTGTAAAGTCCGGCACTAGCAACAATAGTTTTTTGCACCATTTCAACGTGTTTATTGGTGTTTATACCCCATACGTTCTAAAATGGTTATAGTCTACATACTCAGAATAGGTAAAAGTCTTTTCCAAATAATCTAAAATCGAATTTATTGGAATAAACGAAATCTTCAATAGTAACAATGTCTTAAGTTATGTTAAGCAATTTTTATCCGCCAAATAAAGCGCTATTTCGCAGTTCGGGTTCCAAATAGGATATCTGAGGGATAAGGTTATTTTATCTAATAGATATTGCTATCTATAGGTGAAGATACACGTTTTTCTGCTATCCATCAAATAAAATATATCTGACGGATTATAACGTGCTATGTGTATCGGAAAACACCGGAGGTAAGCATGTCAGATGAGAATACCCAAATCGGTAGTTAAGTGCGCGTTAAGTGAAAATTGAGCAAAAAAAAACGCTGAGCGTCTAAAAGCGCTTAGCGTTTTTTAAGTTACAGAATCCGGGCCCTGTACGTAGATAATAGATAAGATTTATTTACAAGACGATGTGTATCAGTTTTTGACAAAATAACATGACAAGCGTCATTCAGTGCGATTTGCTACCCAAATTGGCACATGTGAATGGGTTGCTAGTAAATAAGTTCAGTAGTTTTAGTATTTAGATTTGTTCACACTTAGGTTGGATTAGATTTTTTTGGATATTAGCCTGTTCCACTGCGATCTTTACAAAAATATGTTTTGGTTCTTTTCCGATCTCTAGATTATATTCCCCAGTCCTTGGTTTAACTTGGCGATTGAACATTTCATACTTAGTTCTTTGTGAATGTCCTATCATTGGCTGATATAGAGAACCGTACAATGGATAGGCTGTCGCATTGACATAAAATATGTAGTGTTGTTTCCTCTCCAGATTGACAAACTCTGCACATGGTTTTGCGACAATCCCACTAAGGCAATCACATCAGCTTTAGATGCCTATTAAAGTTTACAATGCCTTAATACTAGACCAACTACCGGTTTGATAGTCTTTTTGTCTTTGGTTATCAGGTCTGCCGTAAATTTTGGCAAATGTTTTACTAAGAACTTTATCGCCTGTCTCTGCCTTGGTGAATATTGCTGCTCTAGTGTTGTCTCTACACACCGGCGGAATATGTTCTTCTGGTAGTTCTACGCGCGCTCACTATCGCGCATACTGTGGGCTGTAGAGAAACCATTTAAGTACGGGTTTGAATTTTGGTTTGGAAATAGTTGAATTTAATTTAAATACGATCATTCTTAACCAAACAATTAAACAATCAAATATTGAAACGAGAATTAAAAAATAAATTATTTATTTTTGCACATCATTTATAATATACAAATCCCAAGCCCAATTAAAAAAACACCGTTCTTTGCCAGTTTTGGACCATTTTTTACACATGTAGTGTTTTAAGATAATACACTTTAGTAGATCTTGTTGGTTGCTAGACTTCTAAAGCAGATATTTATTAAATTCTAGTAACGTAATTGCGACGATCTTCTAGCACACATACTTACACACTATGATTAAAGAGTACCAGAGGCGGCATGTAATTTTGACATTCCTTCACCGAGATATCTAAGTAAAAAAACCGTGAGATGTATTGAAATACTTCGCGCGTGTACTGAAATGTTAATGTAAGTATTATTTAAGTAATTTCATCAAAAAAAAAATTCATCGATACTGATGTATCGACCTACAAAAGAAATCAATAATCCGTACTTACTTTTCTGGCAGATTTGGAACAAAACACAGCCGAGCAACTCTTGATCTTCCCTCTCAATCCGCCCGGTTGATTTCCCCTGCCATTCACTCCACCATTGCTGGTTCCTTGGGGCGTGGCCGGTGACAACGGCTCCACAGAATCGGGTTGGCTGTTTACGCTGTCAGAATGACCAAAGGATGGACCGTTGGCCACGCCCTCCTCCGTAACCAAGACACTGGGGGTGCGGTTACGATTCGAGCTTCTAGGATTAAAAATTGTAGTGATGTCACTGTCTTTCGTCATACTGTCGCTAATATTTTTAGTTTTTTCTTATGTGAAGTAACATTTTAGGTATTATCTGAAACAAGAAATAGAAGTATAATTAGTACATATATACAGGATGTGTATTTTTTTGAATCTTCTTTTGAATATAAATATATTTTTTGGATTTTGGTTCTATGTTATAGGTAGATTCAATCACATTTTCAAACTAAAGTTGTATATTTTTAAATGGAATACTACGATATATATGTCTTTGTTCCAGTGGATTTTCCATTAAAATTTCATTTCAAAAATACAATATGATGTTTTTTTCAAAATTCAGTCTACCCAATTTTGCAACTTTGTTTGATATAATATACAGGGCGAGCCATAACAAAATGTTGTATTTTTCTCCACTATTTTAAATGAAACACCCTGTATTTTGTGTCATAATAGAACAAAGTTTTGTTTAATATTTTTGTTTTATTGAGCATTTTCTAAGCCTAAAGTCGATATTTAATGAGCATATTTTTTTAGCAAGAAGAATATATCATCAAATATATCTAGATTTAAGAGCACCACAAATATCCGTATTTATGAAATCAAAATGAAAGTTAGCAGTAGCACATAAAAAATGTTAGATCTATAAAAGAAGAGAAGAAGCTGAATGTATCTATATTTTTATTATTATTAGAGAAGAAGAAAATACTAATGCGTTTCTTGAGAAATATCGGCTTAAAGGGAGGTTTTCAGAATAGTGTTAATAGAATTATAAAAACACATAATTTCATCCTTATCAATTGGAACTAGTGATGGGAATACCGGTTCCACATGAGTCGCGTTACAGTAGCGACCGTTCCAGAAAAATACTGCGACAAAATAAAGCTATTTTGTAATCGAGGTTCTGGCTTCCACAGTGTCGCGGTCCTCGCATATGCAGTATTTCTTGCATTATATACCTACTCCCAACCAGTGTTGTCAGGTTCTTACAATTGTACCAACTGTTACAACCATTCGTGCCATGCACTTAGGTACAACTGATATTGGAGATGGAGAATTATCCTCTATAAAACCGTCCCAGATACTCGCTTTTGTCAAAGCCCTGGGATTGTCTGATGAGTTATAACTCAAAAAAGGGGGAGACAATAGATCTGTAAAGTCACAGTGATTAACCCCCCTCCCACTCATTTCTACATTCTACCACCGCAAAATACATTTTGTTGAGATTTATTGACTTTTCCACCACCTTTTTTCACAAACTGTAACTACTCCCAACCTTGCCGTTATCTCTGTGCCCGTGTAAATTCATAAATAATTTCATAAACAAATTTGTAAATACAGGATGACTAGAAGAATTTATGACAGCGGCAATACGTTAGGTTCAAATTATAGAAATTAAACTATTAAATAAAATTTAAAAAATATGCTCTATTCCCTAAACTGACGTTGTTTTTATTATTTAAGCACGAATAGATTGACTTAAAATATGTACATGCATTTATTGGTATTCAATACTTTTTATTCGCCATCTATTCAGAGTGAAGAATTTTTATTTTTTCCAATAATAATTTAGATTTATATTCTTCTGATCCACGTTATAACAGCTGTAATTTAAAGAAAAAAAAAACACATTTGTAAGATTTTTCTATCTTTTGTTCTTAAAATATGTTTGATTTAAAAACCTAAACAGTAAAAAAATGACATAATTAGAATCATTATTCCATCATATTTATATAAATACATATGCTAAAATTATTATCTAGATGTATGTTTTTATCTACATATATTTCTTACTCGTGGGAAAATTTAGAAGTAAAATGTTAAACTGCTTCTTGTGTGTATTTTGTTGATAAAATGTTAATGTTCATGTCAGATAATCATAAAATCATTCTTACGTTATTCCCGTATATGTTAGTAAAATGTAATTCTCTTTCTTGTTAGATTATGTTACTTTAATTAGGATTTTCTTTTTAATCAATTGAGAGTGGATTTACAAGTTTCCGATTTTGTTCAATCATATTTTCTTCTTTATTTACTCATATTTTTGTAAAAAGCTTTATTTACCTAACACGCATTTGTTATCAATCATATACCTAAACACACTACTTAATTTATTTGAATTTAATAGAACACCTATGGAGAGCGTTGTTTATAGAACATGGCCGTATATTTTTTAAAATTTTCGATGCTGAGAAATACAGAAATATATTATATTGCAACATAATATATTTAATGTTAAAATCAAGAACAAAGTTTAAACCACTGTCAAAAAAATTCTTTATTGGTGACCAGTTTCGGCAAGTCCAGCCATCATTAGACCTTAAAAATAGATATAAACAATAAAACTTATATAAATTTATAAAAACAAATAACATTTTTATTTTATTTGCTTTTACGTTTCACCTTTCTAACAATGCTATTTTATACAATACCTAGTACATACCAAAAATCGCTATTTCGAAAGTAACGTAGCGACGGACGCACCAACGCCAATAGTAACACCAAATCGTGACAGGCGAAAACGGAACACTAGAAGCGCTCCAGCGACTGCGCGATCGAGATCGCGCGGCGCTACGGACATATCAGTTCCTGATACTACTGTTGGCGACCGACGAAATCGCGACGGCTGGAGCTAAACACGCTATGCGGTTACTACGGTTCGAGCTAACTTCAAGAGCGATTAAAAATAATTTCTAATTTTGTCGTCATTATGATTGTCGTTTTTCAGTAACAGGTTCATGATTCGTTGTGGAGCGCGACACGACGTTACAAAAAAATACCGCTCCAAAATCGCGTTACTCAAATATACCGACACATCACTAATTGGAACTACATCCAGATCTAAATGACTTTATTAATAGAATGAACTTCGCAATGCATACACATAAAACGGGTTCGTTAAAAAAGTTTTGTTTTCTTCAAATCAGTTATGTAAAAAAATATTTGTTTATTTAGTATTTGGAGGACTTTTCAAATAGTATGTCATAAAAAAAATTCTGCGGAAATGCATCCTTTTTGAGTTTTTCAACTTTAGAATAGCTGAAATCAGGGCTATTTTCGTTTACTTGAAATCAGTTATGTTAGAAATATTTGTTTATTTAGTATTTGGAAGCCTTTTTGAATAGTATATCGTAAAAATTTTTCTACGGAAATGCATAATTTTCAGATTTTCAATTTTAGAATAGCTGAAACCAGTTACATGAAAGCATGTTTCTGTTTTTTATTCTAGAAATTTTGACATAGACACGAAAAAAAAACTTCTTGCGAAAGTCATTTATTGATCAAATATTCTAAAATATAGCAAGATTTGAAAAGTACTCTGGTTAGGTTTGTTTTGGTTTGGTTTGGTTTGTTGGTTCATATTTGTTTATTTTCGTTTTTTCTCGGTACGGTATTGATGTCTAAATTACAGTATCTACTAGATTAAGTTCATACATAAGAAAAGTGTTTCGAATGTAAAGCAGGAACACGTTTTCATGTAACTGATTTTAGTTATTCTAAAAGCGGAAAAAAAGAGAATGATGCATTTCCGCAGAGAAATTTTTATGTTTTGTTTTTGGGGAGAATTCTATATAACCCGATAGTTGTTTTTTTATAAGTGATTTCAAGTAAAAAAACTTCACCCCTAAAATCTTATTTTAGCCTGTAAAAGTAATGGACTAGTAAATAAGCGTTAGTATAATTAATACGTGGCAGACAATTCATATAATACTGTACTGTACTACTGTATATAATAGTGGTGCAATACTGTATAGAAGTCTAGTCTGATTTTTTTTATTAAAGTAAATATTTCAGTTAACGTTTCCTTTTTGCTGCCAGGGCTAATCCGGACGGGGCCTACTTTGTTTACGCGGAATCCGAACTGCGGTCCTCGGCCATATCATGGTCAATGGCCTACCGACTTGGCAAGTATCTAATTCGACTTTTTTTCACAATAAGGGGCCGTCCTCTGTCGGAAACACTGCGACCTGTGAGGCCTATTGTGTTTGTCCCCTTTCTATATCTACACCCATTCTCCTATCCCTGTGCCCTGCACTAACTTATGCAGGTCCTTGATAGGATGGGAGCATAGTTCCTCCTGTTCCAGCCTAGCTTTCCCAAATAAAAAGTGTCGCTTGCGATCCAGAGCCTCGCAGTGACATATTATGCACTCCGCTGTTTCAGGATCTTTATCGCAGAGTCAGCAGCAAAGACTTCCTTGATACAGATTGAGCTTGTTCAGGTAACACTTGATTGGTAAATCGACTCTTACTCACGAGATATCCGATCTCATCCGGCCTCGAACCGGCGTGAATGAGCAGTGTGTGTCAATAGATTTTACACTTTTGCCACCTGGACAACAGCACGATACAGAGTTTCGAACCGGTCACCCGTATCCACTAGTATCGCCTTACGTCGCTTAACTTCGGTGTTCTAATGAGAACCGGTATTTCGACGTAGCTAGGCCGTTGCCCTTTTTTTATTAAATGTCCATTTTAGGTATGAGAACTGTGTAATTACAAATTTTATTAAAATTCAGACATTCTTATTGGGTTACTCTTGGTATAACAGGAAAAAAAGAACAAAATAAACACTAAGTTAATATAAGAAAGATGAGTTGCGGTTTTTTCGTGTTTACTATCGATTATCTTAAAAAAAAGTTACTAAAGTGGTAGACCGACCCAATCTGATATATCCGGAAGTTTATAATTTCCGTTCTCTAGAAATAGTTTTTTATAAACATATGCCTTTCTAAGAAACTAATTGGTAGGTACAAGAAAAGTTATATACCAAAAAGAGTTGTAGTACTAAATTATTCTTGATGTTTAACCTTCGATTGCCTTTATTGTATTTGATATTATTATGACATAAAATATTGATATTTTTTTATACATATAAAAATAAAAATTGATTTTTAGTTAACTAAAATTGCTTCTACAAAGCCAAAAAAGTGCTCTAATCAATATAGCCTAGTCAAATTATACTCAAAAAAGTGTTTTGCTGAATTGCTGAATTCGGATATGAAATTTGCTAACAAAATTTCATGACGGAATATGGTTGTAACGTGCCAAAATTTCACTAAACTATTTTATTTCTTTTCTTTAATAATTTAACGCC